AATATTTGAGAACAAGACTGTAATGCAGAGTATTCGTGATACCCAGTTTGACATGGTTCTTCTGGACCCCGGATTGCCTGTGGGAATTCTGGTAGCTCATGAACTTAAGCTGCCGACTGTTTATAATGTGAGATGGATCACAAGCGGAGAAGGCCATTTTGTGGTAGCTCCATCCCCATTATCCTATGTTCCAGTTTCAGGAAATGCCATGTCAGATAAGATGACTTTTGGGCAAAGGGTCAAGAACACTTTTTACTATGCCTTCAACACATTCATTGACAAGGTTGTAGTATGCCCACACTATGATAGACTGGTATCCAGGTACTTTCCAGATCAGAAGTTCTATCACCTTCTACAAGGAGCAGACATCTGGCTCATGAGGGTGGACTTTGTCTTTGAATTCCCCAGACCCACCATGCCAAACATCGTCTACATTGGTGGTTTTCAGTGTAAGCCTTGTAAGCCTTTATCATCAGAGCTGGAGGAGTTTGTTCAAAGTTCAGGAGAACATGGATTCATCTTGATGTCTCTTGGTACTCTGGTCAAAGGCCTACCTATAGAAATCACTTCTGAAATCGCTGCTGCCTTTGCCAAACTTCCCCAAAAGGTCATATGGAGGCATGCCGGTGAGCGCCCCAACAATTTGGGCAACAACACCTTACTGTTAGAATGGATGCCCCAAAATGACCTCTTGGGTCACCCAAAGATTAAAGCCTTTGTGGGCCCATGGAGGTACAAATGGGATCTATGAGTCCATCTACCATGGAGTGCCCATAGTGGGCATACCGCTTCTGTTTGACCAGTTTGAGAATGTTTTAAGATTGGAAGCACGAGGAGCTGCTAAGGTGGTGGATGCGACCAAAATCACTCACCAGAACTTTCTGGAAACAATACAAGAAGTTCTTCACAATCCCTCCTACAGAAATAACATGAAGCATCTCTCTGCTCTCCATCGAGATAAACCAATGCATCCTCTGGACACTGCCGTTTACTGGGTTGAGTTTGTTATCAGGCACAAAGGAGCTTCACATTTACGCACTGAGTCTTACAAGATGCCCTGGTATGCCTATTATTCTGTGGATGTTATATGCTTTTTGACTGCAGTCTTGTTGACACTGATAGCCATTGTAGTGGGATCAATACGATTCTTTTGCTTTAGACTGTGCAGGAGGAGAAAACACAAGCGGGAGTAGTTACTGACTCCTCACATCAGATAATTGTTTAATAAAATGAACAAGTCATCTTAAAGGATAGGATATTTCTACATTCTCAGTCCTTGCTCTAGGGAGGGTGGTGTCAGTCGATAGGTCAATCCACCAGCTTGGTCCAGACTGACTATTGGATTGATTCCCATTAAATTTGATACAGATAAACATGGTGCCCAGAAGATAATTCTTATTAATTTGGGTAATACCTTGACCTTTTCCTCTAGCACCATAATGAGGTCAGATTCTTGAGATCGCCAGTGAAATATCTCAACAGCTAAAAGATGAGAGAGGCACCAAACTTTGTACAGATATTCATGATTCCCATACAATGAATTCTAATGACTTTGGTGATCCACTATTGCTACCATGAGATTCACATTTGTTATTGAAATGTTGAAATGTCTTGATAAATTTCATGGCTTGATTGTCAGGGTGAATTGTAAAAATGTTGGTGATCCCTTAATGTTTAATCCAGATAAATTTGTCCAACACCTTTATATGACTTATTATGACTAATGGCATGACTAAATTAAGATGGTGAACATGGTAAACATTATACCTGCTTAACATCAGTATTACATAACTTGTACTTAAACATCATCATATCACCAACTGCACCCACAACTGTCCAATCACATACCCCAATATTATTTTTACTCCCAACCATGCAAAAAAATTTGTTATGAAGCAACAGCACTGGATGATATAGTATTATCAGAACAGAATTAATATATACATTTGCAACTCTACTGCACTGGTTGTAGAGTAAGTTAACCTCTGGGAACTATTGAGAGGCTCCACGTTCCGCCATTGCTGTAAAAAAAAAAAAAAAAAAACGGTAAATTGGAGCAAACAGAGATGATGCAACTCTTATATCTTCATGGCTCTGAACCTAATACTGCATCTGTATGTGCATTCTTTATCTTAAAAACGTGAAATTAAGGTCATAAGCGATGAAACGCACCCTTACGTAATTAAATACACTGAGAGGTTTTGTTGCTACAGTGTCACTAGGTCTGGTATGACCATGTTAGCTAGCAAACTTTAGATTTAAGACTTTATATATCCTACTGTTACTTTACATTTTAGCATATCATAAACATTTTAACCATTATTTAAAAAAAAGTTAATTTTAACCAAATACCCACTTATTCAAGGACTGAACATATGAAAAAAAAAATGAAAATAGAAAGTACTCAAGGGCCTTAGAACTGCCCTTTCCTAGACATTTATTTTGCAGGATGAGCTCATTGTGCAGGTCACAGAGGTGAGATTTTCTCCACAAAAAACTGTTTTGAGTGTGTGTGTGTGTTGGGTGGGTGGTCTCCTCTGTGAGTTTGTCTGCAGCACAGAGAGAGAGGGTGGACTCTTTGGGAAAACTGTTTCCTCTCCTCCCCTTCCAAAATACACACAAAAATCTGAAGTCCATTTGTAACATCGCCCTCCCCCACCAGACTCCCTTCCTTATGTAACACAACAATCGGGTTTGGAGTTTGGATTCCAGCAGCCGCTGAGCTTCACTTGTCCAGGGGAGGCTAATAGTACATTTCTCTACTGTTTCAGTGATTTAAGGTAAGTTTTAACATTTACTCCTTTTAATACAATACATGAACAAACTCAGTTAAATGCCTTTACAGCATTGCTGAGGAGAAGAGACTTTGCTGACACTTACTTGTGCTGGACTTTAAAGAACTACTTTCAACAGCCTTTGATCACTGGAAGTTGCTGATTTGTAGGCAAGAATGCATGTTAGATTCCTCTTTCAGCTTTCTCAACAACAGGCATGCAGACAAGAAACTGGACACTTCAGGGCATGTTTCTTCTGCAGGTTATGAATGGTATGCTATGTGTTGTTAGCCTGTTAGCGAGTCCCTGCTGAATAAGATTAGAGACCATAGTAACACAAGATGTTAGACAGTCCATGCATTCCACTGGACTTTGATCTGTTGGACTGACATCTCAGGTTTTAGTACGGTGGGCTTTGTGTGTTTCCATGTGGTCATTTCCTCTGGTTTCTTCTGTAAATCTATGCTAAAGAATTTGCAGATAAAACCATCTAGGATATGGTGTTTCTGAGGTATAAAAACCCAGAGCTTCATTTAAAAAAATAATTAATAATATTAATAATGTTGGAGCAAGTGTGTTTATAAAGTATGTTCAAAATTAGCTCCACCTTGACCAGCTAAAACATCAATAGTAATAATAATTTGATAATATAATATAGCATATGATATGATAGCATCATAATGACATGTGCAGCCCTTGAGAGAAAGACTTTCACTGTCTCTCCCCCGTAATAAAAAGTGCTTATCAGCAACTTCCCAGGTCGGCACAATAAAGTGGCCTTGGCTTTCAACATGTTCGTGTGTTGCTTTCTGATTATGAGACAACAATGCTTTCGCTGACTAAAATAAACACATCTAGGTTATATGTAAATAACACCATTTTCTTTCCAGTAGCTACCGCCCTGGGTGCATGTCAGTGTTTGTTTGTGGCTGGTTGCAATTTCCAGTTTGTCACGTAAGTTTGTCATTTGGAAGGAATTCAGTAAATTATACAACACAAGGCTTCATTACAAAATAAAGGTTTGTAGTTCCCTAATGCTACACACATAGATAAAGATAATCAAATTCATAGAATGACATAAAAAATAAATAAAACAGAATAAAAAATTATATATGTACACACCCAGGAAATAATTCTGCAGTGCATCTTTTGAATTTGTGTTTAATTTGAATTAGGTAATAAGTGTTTCAGTGATAAAGCCAAAAGCAGAAAGATTTGAAGGAGCTAACCATTGCCATAGTTATAATCTTCTGAATCCATTTAAATTTGAACAATATGCATCAGCCACTTAAAACCAGACCCAATCAGACACAGAAAAAAATAGTTCAATTTAGCAAGTTTTGATAGAGCTACCAGCCGCTGTGTCTGCACATGCAGCGGTTGCCTTGTCAACACATCAGCGTGACATAAACTAATCATAACAGGTGATTACTCCAATATTTGCGGTTGCTAACATTAAACTTGTGTGTTTGTTGTTTTCCCTCAGAGTGAATCCATGGGGAGCATCCCGGGAGTTTCACTTCTGCTTCTGGCGGTGAGTGTGTCCCTCCTGACAAGTCCCAGTGTCCAGGGAGGAAAGATTCTGGTGTTCCCGGTGGATGGCAGCCACTGGGTCAACATGAACCTCCTCATCCAGAGCCTCCATGCCAGGGGTCATGAGGTCACTGTGGTCCGCACAGCCACTAGTTGGTACGTCAAGGAAAATGCACCACATTACCACTCCATCACTGTCACCTTACCAGAAGCCATTAACATAGAGGAGCAGGACTTCTTTGTAACCTTCCTGGTCAAGATGTTGACAATTCAGAAAGAAGGGGCGTCTCTTATCGGCTTTGTGAAGTTCTACTGGGAAATGCTCGGTGCACTGTCGAAAATTCACCAACAGGCCAGCATGTTGGGGGTTGAAATATTTGAGAACAAGACTCTAATGCAGAGTATTCGTGATACTCAGTTTGACATGGTTCTTCTGGACCCCGGATTGCCTGTGGGAATTCTGGTAGCTCATGAACTTAAGCTGCCGACTGTTTATAATGTGAGATGGATCACCAGTGGAGAAGGGCATTTTGTGGTAGCCCCATCTCCAACATCTTATGTTCCAACTTCAGGAAATGCTGTCTCGGATAAGATGACCTTTGGGCAAAGGGTCAAGAACACCTTTTACTATGCCTTCAACACATTCATTGACAAGTTTGTAGTATGCCCACACTATGATAGACTGGTATCCAGGTACTTTCCAGATCAGAAGTTCTATCACCTTCTACAAGGAGCAGACATCTGGCTGATGAGGGTGGACTTTGTCTTTGAATTCCCCAGACCCACCATGCCAAACATCGCCTACATTGGTGGTTTTCAGTGTAAGCCTTCTAAGCCTTTATCATCAGAGCTGGAGGATTTTGTTCAAAGTTCAGGAGAACATGGATTCATCTTGATGTCTCTTGGTACTCTGGTCAAAGGCCTACCTATAGAAATCACTTCTGAAATCGCTGCTGCCTTTGCCAAACTTCCCCAAAAGGTCATATGGAGGCATGCCGGTGAGCGCCCCAACAATTTGGGCAACAACACCTTACTGTTAGAATGGATGCCCCAAAATGACCTCTTGGGTCACCCAAAGATTAAAGCCTTTGTGGCCCATGGAGGTACAAATGGGATCTATGAGTCCATCTACCATGGAGTGCCCATAGTGGGCATACCGCTTCTGTTTGACCAGTTTGAGAATGTTTTAAGAATGGAAGCACGAGGAGCTGCTAAGGTGGTGGATGCGACCAAAATCACTTGGCAGAACTTTCTGGAAACAATACAAGAAGTTCTTCACAATCCCTCCTACAGAAATAGCATGAAGCGTCTGTCTGCTCTCCATCGAGATAAACCAATGCATCCTCTGGACACTGCCGTTTACTGGGTTGAGTTTGTTATCAGGCACAAAGGAGCTTCACATTTACGCACTGAGTCTTACAAGATGCCCTGGTATGCCTATTATTCTGTGGATGTTATATGCTTTTTGACTGCGGTCTTGTTTACACTGATAGCCATTGTAGTGGGATCAATACGATTCCTTTGCTTTAGACTATGCAGGAGGAGAAAACCCAAGCAGGAGTAGTTACTGACTCCTCACATCAGATTAGTGTTTAAGTCATCTTAAAGGATAGGATATTTCTACATTCTCAGTCCTTGCTCTAGGGAGGGTGGTGTCAGTCAATGTGTCAGGTCAATCCACCAGTGGTTCAGAATTAAATTACTTAAGGACTATTGGATGGATTGTCATTCAATTTTGTACAGATATTCATTGTCCCAAGAGCATATATCCAAATCAATTTTAGCTTTCAGTGAAATGATGAGTGAATGATGAATTCCCATTAAATCTGGTACAAATGACCATAGTGCCTGGAGGATAATTCTTAATGGTTTAGGTGACACCTTGACTTTTCCTCTGGCACCATCATAAGGTCAATGTTCTCCAGTCAATTTTCCAGTAAAATATCTCAACACTGTCCAAACATACAAGCTTAAGATACTTATGATATTTAAGGGGACAACTGTGCAATGTTTTTGGAGCTTCTCACCATTACAAGTCTAAAAGATGCTGCATGCAAAACAATCAAATCATTCACTATTCCATACACCAAAATGGAAAAAAGTAGGTGGATATATTGATTGATTGACAGCTGTGTGCCTGTATTTACTCTTAACAGCAGTGTATTACTGTTATTTCCAGTGTATGCAGATCTGAAATTTCACAAGATATATAAAATCACTTATATGATTTATCTGTCTTTTTTTAAAAATAAAAATCAACATTTAAAAAATGAATACTGCAAGTTTATGTCGTGTATCATCACTTGAAGAAAGAAAATGCAGTCTGTTAAATCGGTTTAAATTTATACTTAATGAAAATAAAAAAGTAATTAACGACAAACTGCCTGGTAGATATGTCTTTATTTCCTGCAATATAGGGATGGAAAAGACTAAACTGTTTATATTTGAAAGAGAATGTACACTATCACCATGTTATAACTCATTCATAGCAGCAATTTTATACATCATATATATAGTCCTATAATTCCCTACATAAAGAAAATTATAGCTTCAAATCATTGTATCATTGCTATATTTACAATATTAAATGAGAACAAAAAATGTTGTTGGGTGATCTAAACATGCTTTTCACAGATCCACCTATAAGATGTCTTACAGGAGCCGTCCATCCAGGAGGTAAGTGTGTTTTCACTGGTGTCCATGTGTCCACAGTCTTCCCCCAAAGGGTCGTCCAGCTTCCAGTCATCAGGCTCAGTCCCCAGTCCTGGTCTACTCAGCCAGTACCTGGAGGAAGAGTAGGAGCAGCTGTGTTACATAATAAAACTAAAATTATCAATCTGCAAAGATCTAAGTTAATGTGTCTGCTACACAAAACTACTTATTTAGAAATGTTGTCTTGATTATCTTGAACTCTGATTTGTGACAGTGACAGACAGCAACAAAACTCTGTAGTGTCAAACAGATCAAATCAACATGAGAACTTCAACTTACTGTAAATCTGAAGCCACTGGACTGCCGTCGACCCAGATCCATTCACCTTCCTCCTCTGCGTCTGTCAAACCAATCCACATCCTGGTGCCGCTCTGATCCAGAGTCTGGCTGGTCTCGAAAATAAAGCTCTAAAAAGAGAAAGATGATTAAAATATATGATGCCTAACAGCTGATGACTGAAAACTCCTTCTGTTATTGTCTCACATGTCTTCTTTTACCTGTTCTGGCTCACTCTCAATGATGAGCAGGTCGCCCCCTTGTGTCTGGCACCAGGCTCTGCTGTAGATCCAGGTGAGTGTGCGAGAGGAGAAGTAGTAGCATTTGTTCTCAAACAGTCTCCATGTGTCCTGACACTTTCTGCAAATCCGTTCTGTGAAAAAAGATTAAGAAACTGATGATTTCTCTGTATAGTTATCAGTCATCTTGTTGCCAAATTTGAACCTCTTCACATATAATTTCCCCCTTTTATTTCCTGGTAAGTACACCATCCAGCACAAAGTCCAAAGTCAAAGCTAACAATACCGCAAAGCTTGTGAAATATATTGTAATATATCATTTTTGCTGGCTAATTTTAGCTTGCTTGCTAATGTGGACAAAATGCTACCTCTCTAACATAGCAAGATATTGTCAGCTGGCTTCACCCTCAGACTCCTGATCTGATCTGACTGGCTTGCTGTTTGCAAATTATTTGCCGGTTTGTAGCTGGCTGGCGAACCTTAGCTTGCTTTCCTGCTAACTTTATCGCTAGCAAAATGCTTTCTAGTTGAGGAAAGAAACTGCTTATATACCTTTCGTCTTGTTATGAACCACAGGGCAGTAGAGGTCTAGGGAGTAGTAGGCCTCCTTCATTGAATGCAGATCCACCACCATTTGGTCCCTCTCGTTCCTCCTGCTTTCCTCTCGCTCTGCTGCTTCCTGCCTCTCTTCCATCAACACGCTGCTCAGGTTCTGGTTCTGCTCCTGAAGCTCTGTTAATCTCTCCCGGAGCTGCGTGTCGTGTTTCTCACTCAGTTTTTGAACTTCTCCTTGAAACTTGTCGTTGATTTCCAGAAGTTCTCGATTCTTTTCCTTCACCTGGAACAGCTCATCCCTCAGGAGGCCGTTAATCTCAGACAGTTGTCGTCCCTCCTCCTCTCTCAGACTGTTGGCGTCGACCAGATGTTTGATAGTTTGGGACATGTTCAGCTTCTCCTCCTCCTGCTCAGACGTCTGCTGGACCAGACGCTCATGTTCTTGTGTGAGTTGCAAGTTTGTAGAATTCAGATTGACAATTTGCTCCATCAACTCTGTGCTTTCCAAACTCCAGGCAAGATTATCAGACATCAGTTGGTCTGAAGTCCTGTTGAGGAGTTTGTTCTGTTCATCCAGCCAGCCGCTCTGCTCCTTGAAGATTTTATTGTCTCCTCTCAGGTCGTTGTTCGCTTTGGCAAGAGTGAGATAGCTGTCACTGATGTTCTGGTAGTCAAATATGAGGCTTTTCAACGCTGGCCTGCTGTCTGACTCATTGTTATCTGAGAATTAAAGACAAAGAATCATTACTTTTCTTAAAACAAAGGACAACACAGCATGCTTCCAAGGACCAGTGTGTAAGATTTAGGAGGCTCTATGGGCAGAAATGGAATATAATATTCACAAGTGTGTTTTGATTTGTGTGTAATTGTTGTGTTTTCATTACTTTAGAATATATAATATAGAATTTATAATGGCGGTCTATGGGGAAATGCTTTTTGGGCTGCAGGGTAAATCTTCCTGCAATACCTCGAGTGGCCACTGGGCAACATTTTACTGAGCGGCAATCTCGCCATGTTTCTACAGTAGCCCAGAACTACTTCTTGCAAGTTTCGTAGCTCCTTTAGTTTCTCCTACGTGGAAGGGAGGGTGAAGCGAGGGGTATTCATTTGGTTGCAATCTGCAACTACACCACTAGATATCACTAAATCCTACACACTGGACCTTTAATGTAAATCCAGCACAGATAAATGTTAATATGCAATGACTTTAAAAGGTGAAAGTTTTATGAATACACATGAACAGTTAAAGATTCAGGGAAATATGCTAATTTAATTCATTTGTGCACAGATTAAACAAATGAGACATATTGTGAGTTTTAAAGTGGCTATAATTGATATTTTAATTATAAAAATGCGAAAACAGTTGCTCACAGCGAACCTACAGATCTGCAGCTGCCCTTGGCTTTAGTTTCAGCTCCTTTTGGTTCTCATTTTATTATACTCTCAACACTACTATATGGTCATTTTTGGCCACAACAGGCAACTGTTTTCAGAGAAAAAGCTCTTGAGTTGGATGATAATGTTGCTCTGGATTTGTAGATAAGAAAGTTATTAAGTTAAACCTAAAAGGTGATAAATATTTCAAGGATTTGTTTTTGACTTGTTTCTGCCCTCAAGTGGCTTAATCAGTTACTGCAGGTTCAAAGGTGTTGATAGGTGCATTTTATCTTTAACTTTTACAACCAAAGTCATATCTTGTGGTCACTTTGAGCTTCCGGCCAATGCTATGAAACTTACATAAGACAGAAAGTGCTACACAGATCACAAGCAGCAACAAGCAGAGTGCTGAGAGACCGACTACTGGACAGAAGTGGTGACAGCTCACTTTCTTTCTGGTGCCGAGGCAACTTGAAGCTGAAACAAACAACAGACAGTTGAGTTATTATCATTATTATTAGTAGTAACAGTGATATACATAACAAGGTTTATGTAATGGATGAGCTGGTATTCTCTTGCTGAAGATACACAACAACTACACAGATCTCTGTCTTATCACGTTGTCTGTAATTGAGTTTTTTAAGCAGAGCAAATCAACCTGTTTTTCTAATTATTTTCTAAAATCAAGTTGAATTTTTCCTTATTGTTGTGCAGCGATGTGCCAAATTCACTCCTGTTTTTCAAGATACTGAGGCTAATTTTTTCAGAGTCCTGGAATTAAATTGATTTCTACTCAAAACAGATTAAAATATTCTTACTGTGCATGAAAACACAGTTTTTAGGATTTAATTACAGACCAAAGATTACTATTGTTATCTTATTATTACTATTTCACCATACACACAGGTAAAGATAAATCACTTATTTTACAGTGCAGTTAAGGCAACACTAAGTACAAATAGTACACATTTAATTAATTATTTATGACACACTATGATGTAGTTGTAAGGATATATAAGAACATTTTGATTTGTTATTAATTAACAGAATTTGTCAGAGATTATAATTTATATAAAAACACATTTTGTATTACTATCTGTATTTTAACATATTATCTGTTTATTCAGCAGCTTCTGCTTACAGCAAATAAACTTGTATATCTTCTTACAACTACATTATAATGTGTTATTAACTTTTTATTAAATGTAATTCCTATGAATGAAGTAAAGAAGTTGCGGTATTACTTACATATTTCCTGTTCCTGTTTGGCTGAAGTCACTGAGATTGAGCCAGAGGATGGATTAATCCAGGAGATCCACCGATGACCGAACATTGTACCTGTTACAGTACGAGAGGCTTTAGAGAAATAAAACTGCTTTAAAAACTCTTGATATCAGGGCTGAACGGAACCAAAAAAAGGGATGCATTGTGTTAAAGTTAGATTGGGATCAAAGGTGTGGAGGTTTTTCTGACACATGAGAAAACATAAATGCCCTATTTGTTCTAAATCAGACCACACATCTTCAGACAGACAGATAGTGTTTGGTGCTTCTAGACATCAAACAGCGTTTAAAGGCCACCAACAAAGTGTTTCAGTGGTTTTCCTGTTATGTATGTGTCATCAAAGTTTTTCTCTCTCTCACGGTGATACAGTGTGATGTAGCTTTACACACTGACAATTCAGACATAGTTTGAGGGGAAATGTTCTCAGAGTTTGTTCTTGTTCCTGCAGTTGAATGTTTGAATGATGTCGGAGCAGCGTTTGACACTAAAACACTTCATCTGCTGAAAGTGCAAAGTTTCTCTGAGCTCATTGAACATCTGATTTAACTACAAGCATGATTTTTGACAACACAAATTGTCTGGAGGTCAGTCCTGGTCCAGTATGCAACTTACACAGTGTGATCCACCAGTGCACAGACACTGAGAATGGACAGTGAAGTAGAACAGTGATTCCCAACTATTCAACTATTCTACTAGAGTTCCAGAGTGATAAAAATATGCCTAACTATCTCTCTTCGTTCTTACTTTGGTGATAATTAAGACAATTTTTATAAATAATTAATAATTATTAATATTTTACCTCCCTCTCCTGCAGCTGCAGCACAGATAGAAACTGGACAAACTGCTGCTGCAATCAGTTTGAAAACCAATCCTCATGACTCACCTGAGCTGATGTCCCTCTCAGTCTGCAGCAGATATAGTGTGTCCTGACTGTCGTCTCGTAGCTGCAGCAGGTCTCCAACAGTCCTTTAAAGCCCACAACCCCCCTGTAGCTTTACCTCCAATAGGTGGAGATCCTCTATAAAGGCCACTTATGTTTGATGTTAGCTTATCTCTCACTGAACAATGGTCTCTGAGGCTGTGACTGTGTGCCATTGTGTGGCTTTTAAACAGAGTTAAACAGAAGATTTTACTTTTTCATTAATGATTTATTTGTGATGTTCCTTTAAATGTTTTGACCGATTGAAGAATTCAGCCTTTAAATAAATAGAAACACATGGTTTATTTCTGTCGTCAGCAATAATTTCCTTCATTTTAACCAGCAGGTGGCACTGTGTCCTTCTGCACTATACACAGCCGGTACCTCACATGTATTTGGTTTCTGTGGTCTCTTTTTCATGGCTTGGGCCTCTTATTAATATTAGTTCCACTGAGAACATTAATGCTACACCACTGAAATACATGCACAAAAATACGGTAGTATCCAAGTTGGTAATATGTTTGGATATGGACAGATACCGTCTATATCCAGAAGGCTAAAGACATGGATCTTTGACAGATTTTATAGTTATATGATATGATACAGATCTGGATACATTTCCATAAACTTAGATACTTTCTGGATTCAGGTGCTTTTTATCCAGTGCACCACATTTTAAACCAGTGGTTCCCAACCTGTGGGTCGGGACCCCACACAGGTAACAAAAACATACTGCATCATGATCATGGTGATTTTTTCATACTTTCCTCGAATCTTTGCATTTTACATTTACAGTCATTCTTGGATTGAACTGGTCAGACCCAGTAAGACAGAATGAGTGACAGCAGCATTATAATTAAGCACTGTAGCTCTGAAGATTTAAGAAAATGTGTTTCTTTGATCCCAACAGACGTCAGGTCGTCATGATTTTAGTATTTCTTTCAGTGAAAATGAAAATTGTGAATCATATCTGTGGAAATATTGACTTTATTACCGTATCGTGCAGCCCAACTGTTCCTGTCTCAACATGGCGATGTCTCCCCGCACAAGGGCAGGTCCATAAGGACGGAGGAAATGATACGTGTAGTATTTAACATTATATATAATATTTTATAGGGATGCACTGATACCACTTTCAAACCAAGTACAAGTTTAGATTACATTTGGGCACTTGCCAATACCGAGTACTGATATTAGTACTTAATAATATCATTACAGTCCAGTTTTATTTTTAAGAGAGGTTACTTAACGTCACGCTGGTGTAAAGTGGTACTGATACGTTATTGGAGTAGTTTTACAAGTACTTGAGCTCAGTATCTGAACAGATACCCGACACTGGTCTCTGTATCTGTGCATCCATTATATTTTATGTAATATATTACTTTATTTTTCAATTTTATTCTATTTAATATATATTACATTTTATAAGTTTATGAGTTGCTAAAATATTGATTGAAAAATGAAAATGAATGAAAAATGTTTATTATCATTATATAAGCCAACAAATACAATAATCTGAGTACATAAACTTCATCAAATAAGCTTCAAGTGCTACAATTAGAAGCAACAAGAGATCATTATTGTTTATTATTACATTTAATGATTGTATGATACAGTAAAATGCCAAACATGCTGATACCAGCAGGACATCTAACAGCAGAGGCAGCAAGATAAGAGAGACAATGTTCTTTCTCTGCAGCGAGAATCATCCCTGATATGATCCGCTCTAAACAAACATGTAGCCACTGATATGTGTGAGAAAGGAAATGCAGATCACAGCATTGTTTTAACAGCCTCTGTCTCCTGTCTGCTGGTTTTAGTTCATTTGGCCTCTTTTTCTTCCCAAATACATGAACAAACTGTGTGTCTTCAGACGGTAACATCACATATATTATGTGTGATCAGTCCTTCTGGATCTGAAACACAACAATCCAATCACGTCCTTGGATTCATTTTGTAATCGTGGAGGAAACCAGTTTGGAAGATGGAAACGCTGGAAATATTCACTCATTACTTTGATTTTAACAAACCACATCGGATTCTAATCGTTGTAAGTCTGAATTTTGGGGTTTGATGATGATTGAAGATGACTAATCTCAATTACACCAATTTATTTTGGCCATGTCAGAAACACACGCTAACGTTTTCGGCCTTGTGGCCTTCATCAGAGGATCATGAGGCTGAAACGAGAGCGTGTTTTCCTGGAAACATGTGTGTGCTACCTTTTAACACTCAACACTGGAATTTAACACTTTGGTTTAGCATCCCAAATAAAATACTGGGAAGGCGAATCGTCTCTAAGATCTAACAATTCAGTGCCTGAAATGAGCCGGCACTTCAGATTGTTGTCCATACGAGTACCCTTACTTCTCACTGAGTACACCCTGTAGCAAGTTCAGTTTTTGGACCTCTGTATTGCTGGTGAGGTACTCCTAATTGTATTATGAATTGGTCCTACACAAATAAAATGTAGCTGAATTGTTTGGGATTGTGCTGAATTAGGGTACTCGAATTTAGGCACTGACACAATTATCAAATTCTTGAGGAGTAGCTGAAAACTACTATAACTAGTAGTGTAACTAATTAGAGTTGGCAGGGAGGTCAGCTGTAAGTCCTCACTAAGGTTCCCTGCAGGATACACAAAGACTAGAAACTGGAGGGCAAATGGAGTGAGGCATTGGGTGGTGTAGGTGTGAAAAGGGAAATGGGGGTGCGGTGCATACAGAGGACGAGCGGAGATGGTGTTAGTTAGACTCTGTGCTAATGATCCTCCTTATCATTGTCTGCATTCAGCACTATCCACCCACACGTCTTAGCTTAGGAAACTGCTTTGTGATTTTAACCTTGATGTAAATTTTGTTGGCTGGATTGTAGACTTTTTAAGGTCTCAGAGGGTGAGAGTGAACGGCTTTCTGTCAGTACAGTGCTCCTCTTCAGCCGGCTCTCCTCAGGAAGGTGTCTGGCAGACATCTTGAAATTCACTGCTGACCATTGACAGTATATATAAAGGACAGAGCTTCCAGATCTGAGAAGTGTCTTAAACCTGTATTATATGTAACGGCCAGCATGGGGCAGCTCTGATACCATTCAGTCTTATGGAGAAATGAGCCGACTTCTCAGTTGATTTATGAGCTCAGTAAACAGTTTCCTGATGAGTTTCTGGTCTCAGTCTCTAGTTTCAGTCTTCTTCCATACAGCATGATGTTCATTTAGTAACTGATGGTCCCATTTAGAGTAAAACAGACCATAAAGCAGGGTATGCTTTAGGGCGGGGCTACCTTGTGATTGACAGCTCATTCTCAGTGAGTCCAGATTCTGTTGTTGACTGTTTCTCTCCTCAAATCTGTTCACAAATATATCTTACTGTTTATCTGGAATACCAGATCGTCAGTGAGCAGGCGAGCCGCCATTGTTTCCAAACCGAGAGCAGCCAATGAGAGCAACTCAACTCGCAGTACGTCACCTGATGACACAAGTATCATCAGCCTGCCCGTTGGATTTCAGCATTGTTGTTGTTGTATTATGGTTTACTTTATATTGTATGAACAAGAATCATTTTTGTGTTTTGGTACTTTAGTTTCTGTCTGAACTTTCTTCAGCATCCTTTACAGCCCATCGTGAACCAACAACCTCACAGGGCCAATCTCAGCAGATCAGCCACAAGTTTCATACTTTCATCCCTTGGTCCCCACAAAGATAGCACACACACATGCAAATGCACACAGTACTTTACCAGGAACCGCAGTAGCCATCCGTTCTGAGAACTCTGTGTCATCTCAGGAAAACACATCCATAGTCCATTCTCGTTGTTCGTACTGTCACGTACTGTATGTGTGCAGCTGCTTTTACTTTATTAATGTTCACAAATAAGACACACACAAAACTTAATGCATAAAAGTAGTAAAAGAATTGTGCTGCTGGGATTTAAAATAAAAACAAAAACAAGAAATCTCAGCAAAAAAGGCAAATAAAAACATCAGAATTTTAGGAAATTAGGTATTTCCCAAATCTCTTTAAAGGTCCAGTGTGTAACATTCAGGAGGATCAATTGTCAGAAATGCAGTATATTGTTAATATGTGTGTTTTCATTAGTGTTTAATCACCTGAAAATAGCAATAGTTGTGTTTTTGTTACGTTAGAATGAGACGTTTTTATCTACAGACGGAGCGGATCCTCTATAACAGGCTGCCAGGTTTCTATACCTCCGAGCTGTAGAAACATGGCCTGTCATGGACAATTAACCCTTCCTAAGTCCCGCCCTTTTTTGCTCTGTGCTCCAATAACAGTGACACCTTGGTGAACTTTCTCCTCTTCTGTACCTCTCTGTGTTTGCATCGCAGACACAGAGAGTCCGCCGGAGCTTCGACACTCACTAGAAACACATTCACGCTGATTATTTCTGTGTGGTACTTGAGTTGCAACCTTAGATAAACTAGCTCTCCGGCGTCTGTGGTTGAGTGTCAGACTAACGGCTGGGCAGCAGGCCGCAGTCTGCAGAGTCTGCAGAGTCCAGATGTTGGTTTTATAGAACCAGGGCTTGTTTGGTGAAGAAAACTGCCCCCTTATGTCACCTGCCCCCAGATCAGCCAATCACAAAATTCAATTGCAGTAGCCAGTTTTCAGCCAGTAGAGGGCGGTGACTGCTAGTCAAAATGCTAGCTCACTACCTGGCCAAACTACATCAGTCATTGGTTTGCTAGTTAGTTAAACTTGTGCTAACACTAGCTAACTCAAGATGTGACTATATAAAGTCACTTTTATCTTTTACTCATCTTTAAAATGTGGTTGTCTTACCCAGAGCAAAACAGGGCAGGATGGAGGAAAGGTGAATTATCTCATCGGACTATTATTTTAATACATACTGAATGAAAACTGTTCACATTTCATAACTTACTCACCTTCATCTCCAGACTGCATTATACAACTCTTCTTTAAAAACATATACAGCTGTTTGTGGAACATACAACACACGTACTGTGAGTTCATTGATGGTGCAGGTCTCACTCACTCCTGGACTTTACTTTTCCAAATCACCACATAAACCAGTACGGGGATGAGGCAAACAGGGATGAGTGTTAAGGTGATCACCACCCCGTGAGGAGCATCCGGGAACTGAAGCTCCTCCTCGGCACAGTTCTGGAAGTACTCAGAGTGGATCTGGACGAAGAACTCTTGAATGATGGGGTTTGGGTAATAGCAGCCGATCATACCAGACAGCTTCTCCAAGCACATCGTCATTTCGTGGTATGGTCTGCAATAGAGAAACCAACATTAATGATGACCATATCCACTGTTGGTCTGTTTTATAATGCTGTACATTTAATATCTTTGGGTTTCGGACTGTTGGTCAGACAAAATAACAAATAGAGCTCTGGGAAATTGTTTTATGACATTTTATATACCAGAAGATTCATCAGTTCATCAAGAAAATAAGTGTTGGATTAATTAATTATAAGAACTTTAACTGCAGCCACAAAAATAATCTGACACTGATCAACCTGGTTTAAAAAATAAGACATTAAAAGCTGAGTTTCAAAGGATTTAGTCTCATCTTTACAGTAAAGAAAAATCTGTAATTTTACAGGGTTTTCCTGTTTATTTTACAGATTTATTTCTGTTTGTTTTTGACATACACGAAAATATAAATTACATAACAAAAATAGCCTGTGAATTTACATGTCTAATGTAAAATATTGTGGAAAAATTACTATTTATTTAGAGAAAAATATTGTGTTTTTATATAAAAAGATATTTATTGTTTATTAAGTAGATTAAACTGTTAAATTCAAGTTTAATACTGTCAGAGTCAGTGTTTGGTTTGTGACAATTTTTTGTATTTATTATTATTATTATTTGTTTTTATTATCTTTTATTTAATGTATTGTCTTTTGCATTTTGTTAAATTGTATTCATTTTTTAATTTTTTTTATTATTATTGTTATTGTTGTATTTATTATTATTATTGCAACCATCTTTTGGTCTTTCCATTAAATTTCCTCCAGTGAGTGAAACAGCGCCCCTCTGTGTTGCACCATTAGCTGCAGTGTAAGTCCGTGTGGTCAAAGAGGGTATTGCAGTCAGACAGCTGAAGGAAAGCCAGGTGAGCCTAATTAAGAAATCAGCAGAAACTACCCGGTACAGAGCTCTGCAGGGAGAAACTCTAAAGTAAGTTAACTGCATTAAGTTTGATGAAACAACCGGGAGAGTTAGTTAGTTTTACAGTGTCGTTAATTAGTAATATAATAATATAATAGAACTGAAACAGCTCATGGAGGGAGGAGAGGAAGACGGATATTGTCCACTTCAATTTCATGAAAAAAGGAAAATGGGCTCCGAGCTGATTAATGTGAGTCAAACATTTGTCTGTGTCTGTTATAATAATAATAATAATAATAATATTAATTGCAACCATCTTTTGACCATTGCTTTGAATCTCTTCATTGTCTCCATAGTTCAATGTAGATGTTCAATACTCTTCTACATATTTATTTGATGACACTGATATATAATTAAGAAACCAATCCAATAATTCTGAAATGAACTATTCTGCTAAATGAGCACTTTTGGTACTTTTTATATTTTATATATTTTTTTACTTTTGCCTTTGTCAAATTTTGCTTTTACTTTATTTTCTGCACTGTTGTGTTTCCACTGTCACTCAAGTAAAATATCTGAGTACTTCTTCAACCACAAGGGGGCGCTGCAGGCTGCCTTAAAACCCTGCGAGTCATATATCTGATACATACATTGATGCTTTTTACATATATATTATATATTTTTATAGCCTTCAGTACTGAGCTGTATCAGAGGGAGCCGTCTAGTACTGTGCATTCTGTTGTTTTTTAAGAAGATAAAATTTTCACATCAGGTATTTTTGATTGAACATTACAGGACTGCAGATAACTACTATTGACAGTATTGAATATTATATTATTATTTTATTCGATCATTTTGTCTGTTAAAGGGCAGAAAAACACCTGTTATAACTTCCTACAGTCCTTAAGTGGCATCTGAATTGTTTCAGTTTTGTCATATATGACAAAGAAAAGTGACAAATCTTCCCGTTAAGCAGCAACCAGGGAATTTTTCACTAGAAAATGAATAAAATGATGGATTGATTATTGAAATATACCCTTTCGTTTTCTGCTGATTGACTAATTAAGTGATCGTTGCACCTCTACAACTTAAAAGGTTAATTTATTTATCTGCAGTCTCCGTGTACTCTGGCATTACTGATCTTGTAAATGATGCTGTAAAGAACATCCTGTCATCAGGTTCGCTAACGTTAAAAAATAAAATGACCAGTTAACCTACTTTATAAACCACTCCACTGCTATTTTTGAGACCTCACCCCTTCAACTGGCCACACAGGGAACTCCTGACACGAACGACCCAGATTCTCCTCTTAACCCCAAATCAAAAGTTATATGTAAAAGTTTTATTTAAAGACACTGACCAACGAGCTGCTGCCCGCCGATTTACCATCTTTGATCCATAAATTGATCACTGTGATAGCACAGCATTTCACGGGGATCTGATATCAACCTCCTTTTTCTTCTTAGAGAAACAAGAACACTTATGTTAATAATATTGTGCACCTCCTAAATAAAATGTTCATTGTGTACAGTCTGGTCCTGCAGACAACCACGGAGGCAAATGTGTGATTGTTGTCCTGGAAAACCTGTACACTTAGAGACTAGTATCCAGTCATGGAAACACCTAGAATTTCATGATATATGATACACAAGTGGGAATGATCATTTTTGCATCCAAATTTTCATTTTCACTGAAAAAAAAAACTATTAAAATCATGATGATGTGACATTTGTTGAAGTCTGTACCAAACAAATATGTTTTCTTAAATCTGGAGAACAAGATTTGTAGCATCTCTGCAGCTCTACAGTACTTCATTATAATGCTGTTTGTCACACATTTGACCTGTTATCCAAACATTACAGCTTCAGAGATTTGGATATTGCACTTGGCCGAATTGCGATTTCAGTAATATTTCTACTAACTGTGCAGCTCTGGAAATAATCCGTGTCCTGGAAACTTTTTGTCGTATTTTAGCCCCTCGCTCAGATCACCTACGTAAACCTAGTTGTGTATTTAGTTTGAAACTCAGCAGGATAAGCTGCTCGGTGTAAGACATGCGAAGCTCGGCGTTGAGTCTGTTTTTCCCGAGGCTCTGACTGAAATTCATGCATATTGTGGTTGATACACACACACAGAGATGTTAGCTGTACGTGTAACAAACACTTTCGCTTTCTACATGGCATTTCTTACGGGCTGTGGCCAAATTAATGTTAGAAAAACTGTAGTAAAGTGTAATCAAGAGACCACAGCGAGGCTCCACTGACTGCAGGAAGTTGGCTGTGGTGATGAGTGAAAGCGAGCTAACACACAGCATCTAATAAACACTGATCACTATACCTGTACTGAACCCGAGGCCCTTTATCATGAACCCTGCAGCATTAAAACTGGAGGAATGAAACTGGGGTTAAATGTGACAATACGAGGCCTACTGGTAAATTACGGTATATGACCGTTTGTGTGCAGGTGCTGTCCTGTACTGCCAAGAAAAACTCCTTGAAAATGTCTTAAAGGTCCGAGAAAATCTTTTCTTAGAGTGGAAGCCCTGATACATAAAAGTGAACTGACTACAAATTCCCTCTATAGCTTTAACTGTCACAGATATTTAGATTTCTTAGTACTACTACTATGACTACATCATAAAGACAGATGTAACTGTGTTTGCAAAGTTCCTAAACACAATAAAGGAGCTGAATCAAGAATAAATCAAAAGTAGAGATATAGAAAAGTGAGTATAAAAAGATGAGAAAACGCCACTTAATACTACTTCAGATCCTCCGTATGCATTACCTGATGATATTGTCCAGGACACACCAGTCTTCTGTGCTGACTGACAACATTTGAGTGTGAAAGGAATTACCACAAATCGTGTGACTATAGTCTTCTAGAATGTCCTGCTGACACCGTCTGCCAGGGAACATAGTTTCCTGGTCCTGGAAATTCTCTGCAGAGTAAGGAAAAATAACGGGGACACACAAATATCAAACAACACCCAGGTTTTGAGCATTAAATGACATTATTCAGATTGTCTTCGGATGATTTCACAACGTTATGAGCTCACTCAGTAGCCCAGTAGTGAGCGTTTCTTTATCTCAGCTTTTCCTGAAAGTGAAACTAGATTGCTGATAGCTTGTTTAATCTGTAGTAAGCTGTTACAGGAAATTTAAAAGCACTGATAAGGGCTCTGGAGTTTCCTTCCCTACTGCAGAATAAGTAGAAAAACTCACCATCATCCTCTGTGATAACAGTCGCTGTCTGGTTTTGCAGTTCATCCACAATTTCACTTTCCTTGTCCTTGTTCAAACTGGACGTCACAGTGAATGGTTTCATCGTACCTGCACGCAAAAAAACCCGATGACAAATCCACACGATTGCTGCACACTCTTATTAACAAAGCTCTGCACTAGCAGTGTAACGATTCAACACAATCCCCCATACTGGGTTCACAATGGGACTCTCACTATTTGTTTGACAAAATGAGACCGAAGACCGGAATCGGTTTTATTTCTGAGGTCTGAAAAACAATACATATTTTCTGTTCCTTTGTAGAAGTGAAACTGATGTCTTTGGGCCTCGATACAGCGACTGACGTGAGTGACGTAGGGTTAGGCTCGCCAACTTAAACCTTCACATATTTGTAGCTATGTCACGATTATCTTGACCATAATATTTGATATTATTACGATAATCATGAAATTATACTTTTAAAATGTCACTTAAACATGTTGCTACCTTACATTTTGTTAAAAAAAACTAATATATTTATTGCATCACAGTTAGGAACCTCATCTCCCTGCTCTTTATTTTGAAATCTAACCTAATTTATTTAAATTTCCACACATCCTGTTTAACTTTTTTCTGAGGGGGATGCCGAGCCTTCAGCCATGGTGATGGGATTAAGATTTTGGAATGACTGGAAAGAAGCGGGCTTCTCTTTGCCCCCTTCAAAATAAATCAGGAAATCAATACAGGACTGTACGCTGGCGAGCTGGACAGCTTTTTCAGAAATGTGTTGTGTTTTTATCGCGATAATATCGTCCCATTCCTATTTGTATCGCAATGTAACGTTCTTGCGATATATCTTAATTAATGTAATTCTCTACATTCCTAATGATGACCAATCAGAGTGATTCGCATTCGTAGAGCAAAAACAAATGGTCGACTGATTAACTGACATCGATTGACAGAATATTAATCAATTATTTTCTCGTTTTTCAAGCAAAAAGGCCAAATGTTCTCTCGCTTTAGCTTCCTAAACGTGAGGATTTCCTGCTTTTCTTTCTAAACCGATGGTCTCTTTACAAATGATTATCGATCGACAGGAAATAAACTGGTGATTTAAGTGACGGAAAAATGCCTAAAATTCCCTGGTTCCAGCTTCTGTTCTGGTTTCAGAAGTCACAGATACAGAGATAGAACATTTGAAGGTGTCGCCTTGGGAAACAAACTATCTGACATTTTATAGATTCACGGAGAAAATAAAGTGAAAAATAAAAAGTCTTACTGTTGGCAGTGGACTCAATCAATGTTAGGTTCCCATCAGCTTTCCTCCACTCTTTGTCTGTCATGTTGGCTGTTTGTGACTCCACAATACCTGCAGACACAGATTTAATGAAGCCTTTTTACCATCACATGAACGAGTCCACACCAGCCTTTTGTTGGCTGCTACTGAAACTAAAATGCCCTCCGCCTTTTTCCTTCATCATTCCCACACACAGGGAAAACAATAGACACTCATGGAAACTCAAAAAACAGGAAACACTAAGAGACAAAAACATAATTAACCTAAAACTGGTGTTTAAAATGAGATCTGAACACATACCGAGGATAAGAGCGGGGAAGAGCAGGTACAGGATCATGGTGGCTCAGCTGTAAACTTTGAGGCCGGTTGCTGACCTGAGGTTCCTTATGAAGCTCAAGGTCTGAGAGCTGAGTGAGTTAAGGAACAAGCCCAGCCCTCTTTATCTTAGCACTGCTCACTGTCTATGTGCGTGTATGTTCATGTATGTGTGACTGTATTTATGTCCGGGGCTGATGAAGCTGATACAGAGGACGAAATATGCCTGATAACAGACCGTCTGATAGAAGAACAACAACCGTGCCCAGTGGGGGTTTCTTGTTAAAATAAAAACATATTATCCGATATAATTGGGACTGGTACTCCTATTTGGCCTTTTAGCCCTATGAATTACAACTTGTGAATTTGTTTTGTATCATAGAAATTATTTTAGGTACTCCACCCGAAAACTTGATTTTTGAGCTGGAAACAGAATTATTGTTAGAATTATTATTTAAATTTGCTGAGAGGTAGGGAGAGAGCAGAAGACATAGAGCAGCATTAGTTTTCAGTTAGAGTCGTGTTTCTGGCCACCTGACGTCCAATATGCACCGTCCTTTCAGCTCTGTTTTGGTCTCTTGTGTTCTTGTGTTCCCTGGCTAGCTGCCAACCGTTGCTGAGCAGGGAAGCACCGCTGCACACAGCTGGAACTGACACGATGATAACAGTGAAATTATTATCATATCTTTAACAGAGCTCCAGGGTGCGACCAGAAATCTGTCAAGTGCAAAGAAACCTTTTCATAGGTCTCACTGGTGCACCATCGACTGTACCGAACAGTACTGGGGCAGCTGGGTGTGAGGTCGGGACTCTGTAAAGATAATGACCTGGTGACCTCGCTGTCTCTGTCTCCCCCCCGCCTCGAGCTGCATGTGTGTGTGCCGCTCAGCCCCGCCCTCGGTCAAACACACAGACCTGCAGACAGGATGAAGCGTGGCTGCTGTTCTGCAGAGGTGTGTGTGGTGGAGATGTTGCTGTGTTTTGTAACCACAATCAGAAACTAACCTTTTATTTATCTGCTCCATGAGACACATACTTGATGCCACCCCCAGTCAAAAAAGTCTGGACACGTCCCCTGTTTAGTTTTTAGTATAACTTTTATTAAATAATCTCCTTTATAGCTGTATTTTATTGTCATTTTTATCATTGCATTCTGTATTTAAATCTGCCTTATTTAATTTTTACTACATTCTGTCTTAGTGTCGTCATCTGTGAAGAACTTTGAACTGCACCACACTGTATGAAATGCGCAATGCAAATAAAGTTTTTGATTGATTGATTGGTTTCACACAACTCTGCTGTGAAGAAAGACGAGGACAGTAGTGGTAATTTCCTTTTGGAATAATTAACCTGCTGATTATTTTCTCCATTAATCGATCGGTCGGTTTATTTGAGAGGCCGAAGCGACACCTTCACCATGTTTGTTTAGTCCAACCTCAAAACCATTAAGAATAAATTAAGAAATGATTCATTAAAAGCAGAAAATCCTCACATTTGTGAAGCTGCAATGGAAAAATACAGTATATATTTCTTCAGTTTACCAGCCATAAGCACATAGACCAGTACAAAGTAAACTGTAGTACATTTTGGTTCTCTGGTAAAGGAAAAGAAACATTCGTCAATCATCCCTTCACGATCTGATCAGTTAAAGGTGATTGCATCTTTGGGAAGTAAACAAGTAGAAGTGCTGATACGTCCTCACGTACTCCTGTGGGTCTACTGACATAAACACATAATAAAATCTAAACAGTGATATATCGGGACACGAGGCAGCACGGCCCAGCTTCCTGCTCTTCCTCAGAGAGTTGGCTAAAAGCTCTAAAGGCATTTCCTCCTCCATTTAGCAGCAGGACCCGGACAGAGACAGGGCTGGAATCAGGAAGCTGGTGGAGCAGATAGGCAAAAACTTAATGAAACACAAACACAGAAAGCTGTGACGTGTTGGCAGACGTGTACATGGCAGCAATAATGAGACAAATGCACAAAGAATCCACAATAATTCACATTTATTTTGGGGGGGAAAATGAGTTAAAATACAGGAGCAGACATGTGCCTAACACATCAACTACTAAGTGTAAAGAGCAACAACTTCCTCTACTTTGCGGTTTTCAATGTGCAGGATGTCAGAGCTTTATAGTAATGGCTTGTCTTCACCTCAGCTCACAGAAGCAGGAAACTGTTCTGGCATTCAGGGGTCCGCTGCTTGCTGAAAGGCGCTTACGGACATTTTTGGAATTCAGAAAAGCAATAATGGTTGTGTAGCAACCACATTATGTCATAGCCGTGATTCTGTCTATTGGACAGGCTGCTGGTTTTGTATTCTGGTAGATTGTAGGACTAAAATACAAGAGTGGCAGTGAGTTATCCATTTTTCTATAGGTATGACCTTCACATAATTGTTGATTTTGTTTGTTCGTATGAGCTGTAAGTATTGTGTGTTTTATGATAAGAAAGCAAAACTGTGTGCAGATTTCCTTTTATAGTCTGTGGATAATTGACATACACTTACAATGCATCTTAAAAAGGCAACTGAATCCAGTAATCACAGTTCCAGTTACAATCAGACCAGTTAACACTTAAAACCTGTTTCCTCCACTGGTCCCGTGGGAGCCACGACGGACAGAGTGACTCATATCACACGGGTGAGGGTACAAAAACAACAACCTGACACATCACGCTACCTGAAACATGTTCACACATCAAATAAACCACTACAGACTACTACTGCTGCACATTACATGTACCAGACTGAGAAAGAAACCTTCGGTAAAAGCATCTGAAACTGCAATAAGTGAAGGAATGAAGTCACAATGAAGGAAAATTCATTGTGACTGAAATATAAAATATGACTATAATTAAAAACTGCATATTATATCACTGATTACAAGGCCTGAGTATCAGGCCTCAGTACTTCATTGGCACCGACTTAAATGTGTCCGTTGCACTAAAGTCAAAACTAGAGTGCAGAAATCCATTAAATATTTGGTCAAACTCACAAGCTTATTTTTTATGTAAAATTTTCAGTTTACATTAAGTTTTTTTTTTTTTGCCAATTTTACTATTATTTAAAGATAAGGTAAAAAAAAAAAAAAGTAAGGTTTTGGTATCAGTAGTGAAGCCTTTAATATCAAATGGGATATATGAAATGAGATAGCCTAACAATTACTCTGGAGGTATTTCAGACTTTCAATAATAGATTGTTTTATGAACATACTTCCTCGGAGTACTTTTCCAAACCGAGACCACTGTCAGCAACTCAGCGGCCTCAGAGTTGCCGTGTAGCTTGTTACAGTTCAGAACAGAATAAATAAAGAGCCATACTGCAACACCTTTTGAGTTGTAAATAAATATGAACATTTCTATCCAATGGTGGTTGCACTGTCGATGTTTCAATTGTGCTGGTGCTGAAAAAATATCACTGAAACTGGTTTCAATTCGCCCTCCAGTGGTTTAAATGAGCAGCTGGTCATTAGTATTCTCTTTTTTGTTGTAAATATTGTTGTCGCCCACTTCTTCTTCACACAACTCATTTTATTTTCTCTGCCTTGTTTCAGATTTACACAGACAGTAGGAAGCTTAAACTCACTGCAACGCTGCTTTCTAATGAAGACTGCTGATTGTAAAATCTATTGTTTTACCTCTCAGTCTTTCAATTGCCATGTTTCAATGCTCGTAGTGCACGGAAGCAGGTGTCATGACGAGAAACTGCCCCTGAAAGAAACATTGACAGTTTATAATTAGCAGAGCTGCAACTAAGAAGCCATACGAGCTCCTTGAGCATTAACACTGTAGTGGACAGACTGTGGTCTCTAAAACCACGTCACATTTCCCCGCAACTTTATGAAGTTATCATGTTTTGTTGACATCAGAAATGAATAAATTCTGTTATATGTTGTCACATTCGTCCTTTCCCTAGAAACCCATCTGAATATAATGCAGTCCAATATAACGCCACCTCTAACTGTGACCTCAGTCCTAAAACATATATTTTAATTAATACCTCTCTTTTAACAGTAAAAAAAAAACTGGCTGCTGTGGTTGCAAGAACTTTACTGTAATAGATTTGATAGATCTTCTCTCATATTTTACCATTAAGAGACACTGTTTTGCCACATGAAAATACCTTATAAATACTGTTTTCTGTGCAATTTACAGTCTTTAATATAAAAAACCTACTTTATTCCATATAAATTCTTTTAAAATGCCATATTAATAAAGGTTTTGCCATGAGATATGAAGGTGTTTTACATTACAGAATCTGTATTTAACCTATTTACAGACATTTTTTTACAGTGTACACATCATAGAAGTGGACTTTATGGCAGAATTGTATTGTGTTGGATTGCATTAGTTTTTACAGATGTACCTTAAAAGTGGCCACTGTACTTATAGCTCATTAATGCATAAAGTAACATGTACAGAAGAATATGCAATTAATAAAATACAAGGACGTAAACAACAACAACAAGAAAACAAACACGGACCCTTCGAAAGAAATCATCCACTCACACATACACACTGACAGTAACTAATCACAAACCTCAGAAAATGTTTTCAGTTTGCTTTTGAATATGGACACAGTTATGACTAAAAGTAAGAATGAGTAACTAAAAGCACTTTTACTGGAGGTAAACTAAAGACTATAAAGCAGAATTTAAAGTAGATCTTTTATTGTTTTTGAGCAGAGGAAGTGATTTATGTAGTGTGAGAGTATGAGAGTATGCTCAGCACTTCATTAAAGACTTATAATGTGTTTTAATATGTATACCTTTAGAGGAACAAATTAGTCAATTAACTAATTTTATATGTGATAAATAATTTTTCAAGCAAGAGCATTTGAAAATGTCAACTCAAGCTTTCGGATATTGTGACGGACATTTTTGCTATGTTATGACATTTTATAGGCCAAATATTTATTAGATTCATTTAAAAAACAATGGGTAGATGAGTATACCATAATAGTAAGGTTCAACCCGACTAACAATAAAAGTAACTAATTCTAATAATCAAAACAATAATCACAATAATATATATATTTTTACATTATTTAATACAACATATTCTGTTCTGACAGCTTGTAAACATATACGTTTTGTCACGTTACTAAGTACTCACAATGTATAACAAAGGGCAAAATATGAAGAGCAAAATGCAAATAGATAATCAGAATTACCAAAAAAGTTGAACAAGAAAATTACATTGACACTTTTTCCTCAACTTTTTTTAAATAGTTTTTTTCGACATTCTGTGTCATTGATGTGTTTATTAGTTGTAACTATTTTATTAATTGATACTAAACTGTTTTGAAAGGTCCAGTGTTAAGGATTTGGTTGTAGTGGTGTAGTTGCCGAATGCTTCACCCTTCCCTTCAAAGTGCGTGAAAGGCCACCTGCCGCGTCTGTATTTAAAACGTCTCAACAAAAACACAACAAGTCCTACACTGAGGTGCTTAAACACTAAACATACCTATGAATATTATATTCCATTTCTGCCAATAGATCCTCCTGAATGTTACACACTCCTGGGGTTCGAGTCCGACCTGCGGCCCTTTGCTGCGTGTCATCCCCTCTCTCTAAACATCTTAATTTCAATAAAAGTGAAAATGCAAGTATAGTGTAGTTAATAATTGTGCTGCACGATATGGAAAAAAAATCATATTGCGATTATTTTTGACAGATATGATTAACGATTAGTGTGGGAATTATTTACATTTTTGCATCACAAATTTAATGTTCACTGAAAATAGTATTTAAATCGTGATGATGTGACATTTTGTCTCGTGTCTGTATCAAACAAACGTGTTTTCTTAAATTTAGAGAACAAGATTTGTAGGTTGGGACGTCTCTACAGCACTACAGTACTTCATTATAACGCTGTTACGTGTCACATTTTAGCTTTATTAAATGAATGCAGCTTCTCGGATTTGCATATTGCACTTGGCCATAATGCAATTCTGATAATATTTCGATTGATTGTGCAGCCTTAACAAATAATAATGTATTGGAGACCACAGGAAGTAACTGGAAATCCTGAAGTTGTTGTCTGATGTTCTAAATAATTAATAAACAAAATACGTTTTAGGTAATTTCTTTGATTTTGAGTAATGAGAAGAGCTCAAGTAGATCATGCCAAGGAGCCAATCACCGTTCAATCTGAACCTGTTGACAGGTTGAATAGTAGGTCAGCAGTGTCACACAAGTTAACAGCAACCACAGACACAAACAAGTAAAAGAGGGTAGAAATCACAGGTGAAGAAAAACCACGTTGTGGATCAAGGTCTTTCAACATGCCAAACAGTTCCCATGAGCAAACAGCTCACATCAGGCCCTTGCACAGTTTTCTCATGGTCTGGTGCCAACGTCTGAAACAAACATTGTGGTTTCATCATCTCTGCAGTGATCAGACATGTTCACCATGTGAATTAGTGCAACATGCACTGGGTTAATCAGGCAAATTCAAACCCACGCTTTCACCACCCACACAATCACAATGGGAGGCAGACAAATATCATAGACAAGAAGGTTGCATAGAACTAGCCGGCTGGCTGGGAGGCCTTTCTGTGTGGAGGTAACATGCCTGCGTGGGTTTCCCCCGACAGGCCAGAGACACGCAGGTTAGGTTTATTGGCGACTGTGAATTGTTTGTTGGTGTTGTATTGGAGCAGGATTTTTAGTTTTTCTCTGTTTTATGTCATTGCACACTGCATATCATTGGGTTTTGGACCGTTTGAAGACGTCAAACTCCATTTTTAAATAATTCTCTGGCCTTTTTATAGACCACACAACGTATTGATTGATGAATCAATAAAATAATCACCAGTTTAATCAATAATAAAAAAGTAACTGTTGACTAGCCCTGTGCCATCCCCCCCACCCGACTTGTGCAGTTACACACTTATGTGGCTGCTGTATATTTCAACAAATGAGCATCTAACCACAAAGAAGTCAAGGAAAGGTTTTGGTACCAGTCAGCGGTCACACCCAGATGTTTTTTTGTTGTTGCACATTTGTCCGTTCATTGAACCTACAGCTGGATGCGGTCAGCATGGTGTGTGCATTTTGTCTCCTCTTTTTCAGATTTTGCATTTGCAAAATGGAAAATATCGTCAAATGTATATTACATCAAAAATCTTATTGTGACTTAGATTAGAACACAGATTATAATTACAAAAGTCTATATGCAATTGCTGTGACAGATAAATGCAGTATGGCTGCTGATGATAAAGATCTGTTAACTGGAAACAACAAAATTATGCTGATCAGGAATGTCTACAAAGTTTCATGCTCACATCCTTTTAGTGACTCCTGGTGACACAAACATACAAACGCAGGGGTATGGTAAGGTCAGAAAAACACAGAGCTGGTTTCATTGGCTAGAGGTGGTTAAACTTCACCCTGCAGGCTTGTTTTTAAGTGTGCCAGCTTCTCAAATCTCTACCACAGATGCAGAAGGAGGACTTGGGACATGCTTAACACTTCAAACAGCACAGGTAAGATAACTTAAAAACATCTGGATTTATTTCTGATCTGTTTTTGAATAGAAATTAAGAATTAAAAAACGAATAATTTGTGTTTTTCTACATAAATAATAAATAAAGGGACCAACAGAGTGTAATTAAGTACATTAATGTTTAGGCAAAATGCATATAAACAATTAAAACAATGTTTCTATTAATGAAAATATTCAATTAAATAAATATCAGGTGCTACTGCATATACTAAATACATTTATTAACATGGCTGAGCTTACATGTAACAATTTCACATTGCAATTGCTCGTATTTAATTACTTTTTATAGGATTGCTCGCTGATATTAAATTATGAAATTAGTTCTTTGTCTCTTCAGATTAATGTAAGAGGATTGCAGTGTGGTTAGGGTTAATCAGAGCCTGTATGACTCATATTTCATGTGATTTTGTGTCAAGAATCCTTTCAGCTGAGTGCGCACTGCAACAAAAGAAATCTTGTCAAATTCATAAAATAAGTAATTTATTCCAATTATGCTGTCAAGTAACATCTGTAATTGTACAGCCTGCGATTTGTAGTGTGAATGTTACATTTAAATCTCAAACTTTTACACAATTGTTAACCTGATTACTGTTAAGTGAGACAATTTACTGTATTTCAGTCTCCCCTGGCAAGAAGCAATGCATGTTAAAAGCAAAATATAATAATATTGCGAAAAGGAGAAATGAAACCGACTGTATTGGCATGTGACGCTGGTGATCTTAAAGTTGCTAGTGGGATCCCACATGCCAGCAACCGGACGACTATGTCTCACACAGCGGTGAAAAATTAGAAATATACAACTGCTGCCTACTCAAAATGTACAACAACATATGTGGTTGAGATGATCTCACTTTCAACCTGAAAAAGATAATGTACTGTAATTTGCAGTAGTCTGTTAAACTGCAGGACTAATGGACAATAATACAGTAGAGCTCATACGGAGACTCTCTGAGAATTCCAAAATAATTATTTGATCATAAAGATGAGATCACATTGAAATCAAGATGTTTTTTTCATGAAAGACCTGATAAAGAAAATATTTTTCTTATATCAATCTTGAAATCGTTAAAATTCAGACCGCCAGACATTAAATCCAATTTTAAAAAAGTAAACATTCAAATCTAAGAACTATCTTTGGCCAAAGATTGCTGCTGTATTACTACTCAAGCTCTTCTGCCCACATTTATAAGGCCTCCACTATGCAGATGTGGTCACATGCAAGAGCACAATTAAAGAATTGTGGGGCTTTTTTTCTTTTATTGAAGAGTGTGGTTTTTTCATTTGAGCACATTACTTGAACATTAGCACATTACGCTCAAATAGCCCCTGCTTGTGCTCAGATTTGTTTCTGCTCAAACTGTACGCTTGCTCTTGGAAATATTCAGGCCTTCTCATCGCACATCACTCATTCTCATCATGTCAAAATAGCTGCTGTAAAAAATTTCTATATTAGTAAAAGAAAAGGTATGAGTGCTGGTATATGTAACAGTCCTTGAATTACAAGACCAATAAAGCCTTGGAGGACTCGAGTGAATAAAACTGGTTAAAGAGGAACCTCCTGTATGGGAAGCTTAAGAAATAAAGCGAACATGTCTGCAGCGAGGCAGGGGTCATTACAACACTACAGCTGGCACTCTGTTGGTTGGGGACTTTTGAGGGTTATTGCACAATAAAAGCGAGAGCAGACACTTCACAAGTGCACAGAAGCAACCTGAGTGCGAGGAGAAGAAACTGGAGCAAAATAACAATATATTTGTGCTTTCTATGTATTTGTTAAGAGGGATGGCGCCATGGCGATGGAGACAAATGCTAATTTTGCTTAAAAAGTTGACAGAATATTTTCAACTCATCATTAGATTGTGTATTATATTTTTTATTTAAATAAGAGAAGAAATTTGAGGTTGTAATAAAGCTTTTAATATATAATAAATATGAGATGTATAAAACAGACTGTAATTCTATTACATTGGATTAGAGGAAGAATTGTGAACAGCAGTCTAGTGCTGTACCGAGCCATCCATTTCTTTTTCTTATTTTGTGTCATGTTTCAATTTCATAATAGCTAGAGGTGCAAGACGATACATATACTTAGTCTTTTGGCATGTAGGATGCACATATGAATGAGATATCTGGAAAACATCAAAGTCTGATGAGTCAGAGCCTGAGTAGGAGTACAACCAGCCGAATATAATATATTGTCATCTGCATAATAATACATTCAAATACGTAATAGAGAGTTATTCTGTTGTTACAAATAATAGTGGATCAAGAATTGACCCCTGTGGCACACGTTACTGATTTACAGTGAGCTCTAAATCATCGTCGTCTAATCTTATATACTACCGGGAGGTTTTTATGAACCACGGTATCGTCGGAGGTCAATAGAGTGCTGCTGTATTATTTCTTAGTTTTATTAGTAATATTAGGAATTTAAATTGTGCTGTAAAAATATTGCCCCGTAGTAACCCCTCATGTACATATATATTAAATTATAAATCCTGATATGAATCAGAACTGTTTGGCAGTTTGGGTGGCAGTAAACAAAAGTCTCCCATGACTCAAATTTATACTGTATGCAAGGAAACATTTCCTTTTTTCTTCAGCAATTCAGAAATTTAACAAATATTCTTTCTCTCGCCTACAGGGAAAATGGGTGTAAAGTTACACAGCGTACCTTTTACGTTTTGTCCGAATGTACATTTAACTGTTAATTAAATTATTGCGGCAATCATTATTGAGTTCAAAATCACATTTAGTCCCACACTGTAGTTTGTCAAGAATACCTGTAAGGTTTAAAGCTTCTGAGAACCAATTTATATCAGTTGAACTAAAAGAAAATAAAAAATGTATATATCAAATCCCACAGACGGCTCTGTTCACAAGACTGTCTACAAACTCTTTACTGCCTCTTACCTTTAATGGAATCTCCTTCATGACTGTCACCATCAATTAAAGAGGTTAGAAAACACCATATTAAAATAAATGAGCACTATTTCATATTGCAAGCAGCCTCACACTTAACAGTCACACAGTGAAAGATGAAATGATAAATGGTGATTGTGGAAACTGCCTTGCCTATGTAGGGCTCTTAGCACGCGACACTGGCTGATCTGTAGACCTTGAAGCTACCCACGATTTCCCCTGTGCCAACGACCTGATGCCACTCTCACGCAAACCCTGTGCAAAATGACTAAAATATCACAGCTGCTTACTCAAACTGAGGAACTAAAGCTGCAGGTCTCTCACTTTCAACCTGTGTGGAGGAGTTAGTGTTTCCTGATATCGTGACATGAAGTATTCTGCTTAAACTCAGCACAGGCTGGTATTTATAAGAACACTACATGTTTTGGAACAATTATTAGTCCTCACGCAAGTTTTAGCCCAGAATGACTCATAACATACAGACATTCAGCTCAAACTGACTACTTTCATTAACTGTACAGCCTTGGTGCACTTCCTCAGTATTTGAGTTTTAGTCTTAAGCCGTGAATTTAACACTGGATTACATGTAGAGAGCCGCTTCCTCTTTCAAATGTACCAGAACGTTTTTGAAGAGTAATCAGACAGCTGACACTAGTGACTTAAAGTGGTCTGAAGTGGCAGTTCAGACACTCTGCGAGTTATTAGAGAATAATTGGATGAGATTTTGACTAAAATATTTCATCAGCTCTAAAACATCGTTCACACATCCTCCCAGATCTGATATATAAATATTAATATATATATACAGTATATGCTGAACTCAACTGTCCTTAAGTTTTGGTAGATGTAATCATCTTACATACATTTATTAATGCATTAAAGCTGCGTTCACACTGCAAGCCTTAACGCTCAATTCCGATTTATTCTAATTTTTTTTTTTTTGCCTGGCCGTTCACATTACTTTTTAAATGTGGCTCGTATCAAGCTCCAGTGTGAACAGGAATCATGAGGAATGTGTAGAGTGACGTAAACGTTCTGAGGTGACTGTTCGTATGACAGAAAATCACACCTCAGTCTCAGTGGGATTCGTACTGTTCACACTGCCGTGAAAAATCGGATCTTGAGTCACATGTGAGCAAAACACTACCACTTTGCTGTGGTTTGAGATAAATGCTAACATCAGCATGCTAACATGCTCACAGTGATATTAGACCTTTTTCACAGCAGCCATTTTGACATAAAATAGTAAATGTGTTCCCACCATTGAGGAGGATCTATTGAATGTCAGAAATTGAATATAATATCCATAGGTATGTTTTTATTAGTGTATAATCACCTGAATATATAATCCTTAGAATGAGCCGTTTTTATCTACAGAGCAGGTCCTCTAGATTGGGCCATTTGCATTTTTTTGCATGTTCTCACAGCCACCGTAGTTTCTCCTGCACACAGGCTGAGCTGTTTTCAAGTGGTTGCAACTGATACCTCTAAATCCTGTACTCTGGCACTTTTGTTTTGTTCCATTTAGTGTAGCAGAGCCCTTCCAGTGAGCCAACATGCACTATAATAACACGCTGACTCATATCTTACCTAACACCTGTGTTTACCCTACGGTTTCATGTTAAAATGGCTGCTATGAAAGAAGGCCTATGCTAACAGGTTCAGTTTGTTTGCTTAGTTCAGTGTGTTAGCATGCCTATATGCTAATTATCACTAAACACAGAATTACTTTATATTAATCTGTGGTTTCATTGAGAGCAATGCCCACAGAGGTTAAATGCTGCGCTCAATGTGGTGGTGGTAATGGGGGAGGCAAAAAAACAGCAGCGGTGGTTGCCAGAACTTTACTGTAATAAATACAGTAGAACTTTCCTACTTTTACAGTAACAGGATATAAGTACTGTTGATTTTATGGTGAAAGTTGGAGTTTTATTCCATATTTTACTGTATAAATATAAGTTTTTACCATCTAAAGAAACATGAAAAGACCATCTGAATGTTGTTTTCTGTGTAATTTACAGTCCATAAAATAGAAAAACGACTTTATTCCATATAAATTATTTCAAAATGTCGTATAAATAAAGGTTTTGCTATGAGATATGACTTTTACAGAAGCTGTATTTAACCTATTTAGAGTTTATGGTTTAGACCGTAAAAGTCACTGGGAAAGACACATTTTTTTACAGTGTGCTGGTCGGGGAGATTAAACAGAAAACCTTCCAGTCAAACTTGAAATTTCATACAGTTTTAATGGTTTCCTTTTAAAGTTACCATTCACTAATATTCAATAAAAACTAACTGATCACATTGACTTTGAAGTTTGTAGAGAATGGTTATACATTTTAGTTTTTGTTACATCCTTCTCATTGCAAGATAAATTACTTACTGGTCTTTATTTCTTCCCACCAGCAATGGAACCTGTTACTGAATACGATGATGATTACAGTAACATCACAGACGTCGGTGATTACAACTACTCACTTTATAATAACAGTAACATCACAGACGTCGTTGATTACGACATAACCTCTGAAATGTGTGGGCCCGGTGAGCAGGAGCTCACCATCAAAATGTTCCAGACTTGTGTTTTCTGCCTGATCTTCCTGCTGGGCGTGGTGGGAAACTGTCTGGTGATCGCCACCTTCGGCCTCTACCGCCGCCTCCGCCTTCGCTCCATGACCGACGTCTTCCTGTTCCACCTGGCGCTGGCTGACCTTCTGCTGCTCCTCACGCTCCCATTACAGGCCATCGACACCCACAAGGGTTGGATCTTCACCGTTTCCCTCTGCAAGGCCACGAGGGCATGCTACGCTATCAACACGTACAGCGGGCTTCTGCTGTTGGCCTGCATCAGCGTCGACCGCTACCTGGTGGTGGCACATGCTCAACAGATGTTCCGGCTGCGCAGTCAGATATTAACAGGCGGGAAAGTAGCCGCCATAGGTGTGTGGCTTGTTGCGGTGCTCCTCAGCCTTCCTGAAATCCTCTTCTCTGGGGTGTCAGAGGCTGACGAAGACAACAAAGCATACTGCGGCATGCTAAAGAGTGGAACGGTCAAAATGGCCACCAACGGAGCCATCATTGCCGTCTTCTGCGTGTCCTTCGCCGTTATGGTGACATGCTACTCTTTGATCGGGCGAGTGCTGTTGGAAGGGCACGCACACCGGCGGGGGAAGCAGTGGCATCGTCAGCGTACATTGAAGCTGATGGTGGCTCTTGTGTTGGTGTTCTTGGTGTTCCAGCTGCCGTACACCGTGGTGCTGTCGCGCAAGATGGCCGGGCCGTTCTGCGGCCTGCTGCTGGAGTACGTCACCGGCACTTTGGTGTACACCCGCTGTTGCCTCAACCCCATCCTGTACGCCCTGGTTGGCGTGCGCTTCCGTAACGACGTGCTGAGGCTCCTCCGTGACTCAGGCTGCAAGTGTGGCGTCCTGCATCTGCCACAGACGATGAGCTCCATCACACCGACATCCCCCGAACGCACTCACTCCAGCTACGAGACTGTGTCTGCCATCAAATTTCAGTTTTCAGAAAAGAATTAATATTCTGTAGAGTGGACTATAAGCTTAAATACATATTTCCCAACAGTATACATAATGTACACTTACTATACAGAAACAATGGATGGAACAATCACAAGGAGTTGATTTTAACATTAGGGCTGGGTATCATTTAATTTTTTTGTTTTGTTTGTACATAATATACTAATAGATAATCATATGTATGTGTATATGTGTGTGTATTAGAGGTTGATAGTGGAGGGCAGGAAAAAGCTAATTAACCAACTATATATTATCTATAAAGGTTTGTTTGTTCCTTTCTTCGTAGCTCTTACTTAGTGAATTAACAAGATATAAGTTGTTGAAAATGTTTTTTTATAAAGGTATATTTTTCCCTTTTATTAGACGGGGGGGACACAACACACAGCAAAGGGTCACAGGTCAGATTTGAGCTTAAGCAAAGATTAACCAAAGCAGACATACAACTCTCTTGCTTTAGCTGTCTATAAAGAAATTACAGCTTTCTACTGTATTTCCTTTGTTTATGGTTAAAAAATGTAAAAAAATATATTTGTATTCATGTTTTGGTTGAAACATTGGTGATGCAACGTTATGAACACATTTCACAAAAACTCTCGAGGTTAGATACCCGGCCCTAGTCACATTGGTATTACGGACAAAAATACGAGGTCACACTTTATTTGTTTTTCAGCCATCAGGTGACAAAAAGCAGATGTGTGAGTCACATATTTTCGTAACGCTGACCACATGAAGCCAGCGGTACCTCGCTTTTATTTCAAGGAACTGAAATCCTATGAAATGCTTTTGCACAGTAGCCGGGCTGTGGTGGTAAAAGGAAAATAAAAGGTGGGTAAACTATAAGCATCTGTGGCTTCAAGTTAGAAAAAAGGTGTATAAACATCAGGCGCCCAAATATGAGACTAGAACCACTGACACCAAATCATATAAATATACTAGTGTAGGGTCCAATCAATATTAAATTATTATTCAATTATTATTTAGTTTATTGCATTTTGAATGTCAAACCTATCTACAGAACTATTGAAACTGTCCACAAACGCAGCACTTTATTCCTTTGGCCTTAAAGAGGCCACACTGTGGCCACAACGTCCACTTCCTCTCTCCTCTCATGTGCCAGGCAGCACTTTTAAAGGAGGAAAGGGAGGGTGGAGAGGTTGTGTTGTGAACTGACATATAATGCTCAGGTAAAAAGGTTTAAATCTGACTTGAAAATTGTGCAAAATCATCCAAACAGTGTAATTAAATGTTAAGTTGTATTAAAACAGGGACGTACACTGTGTTTACCCCCCACTACAGCCCTGGTTGGTAGTCGTGTTTGATATTCACAAGACTTTTTACAGTTAAATTAAAGTTAAATTAAAGCCTTTTGATTGCAGTCGGCCAATTAAAAAAAAGTGTGACTAAACAGATTTCCATCTGCTCACAACTTGTTCTGACTCTGCTTGGCACCCGTGTTCAGGTTAATATGTACAAATGTATATTCTGTATTCTTTGTCCAGGGTTTGAGTCTATTGTCTTTACTTTCAGGTCATATTTTCAACAGATATATGTTGATATTTGCTTATTATTATTCTTTTTAAAGCTTCCATTAACCATATTTAAATCATAAGCAATCCTAACCTGACTTTATTTCTAACCTTCCACATGTCTGGTCACTTTTTAATAAGCTGTGTATAGCTGAACTATAGCAAAAACTGTTAAATATAGACTTATATGATGTAGAGGTTTCTTCACTCACTTGTTTGTATTGTTTGTAATTAAACTTTGGTTTTACAACGTTTTCCTCAAAGCCGTTTTTTATTCTGTCTGAAGGTTTGCATTTTGATTGTTGTATGACTCAAGTTTCAGGTTGTGCTGTGAGCGGATGGTTAAACAGAATGAGTGGCCTTTTTGTGGATCCATGTAAAATCAGTCGTCTACCCGAAGTTGTGACTCTTGAGGTTTTAGTGTGAGATGTTGTCACATCTATATGGGTCAGCAAACTTATGCTATTTATACCGTTAAAGCATATGTTGTTGCAGAAAGAGGGCTGGACTGCGTTGCACCAGCTTCGTGGAAGTTCTCCTCAGTTAGGGTGTGAAGTTGACAGTTGAGGCTCGTAACTAAATCAGCTACTCGGTAAAAAAATGATGCTGTGTGGCAGAAAAGCTGCTGTTTTATCATCAGTGAGTATAATTCTGTGATGTTTTATGCTTTACATTAACTTGTGTAACTATTTAGTTGCTACTTAGAATTTAGTTGTAACTTCTCTGTGGTGCAGAGACATTTTAGTAATGCAGAAATCTTACTAATAACTTACGTTATATCTGGGCTAAGTTTGAACTTGCACACAGCTGCTGCAACAGCTGCTGAGGTGTTCCATTTAATAAAGCTGAAGTTACCCCCCGCCCCCCCGTCCTGTCAGTGTCTCAAGCTGTGCCTGTCAAAAATCCTCACAAATAACTAAAATAAAATAAACCTTGTGATGGTGATTCTCAGATTTAGATTTGTCCTCCTATAGAGAGAAAAAGAGAAAACAACCTTCCTGTTTGAATGGAAACAATCTATAAAACACCACTGCTCAGTTTTACCTTTATAATCATAATATAGTCCACTTTGGGTCCACTCCATCTCCACATCTCATCTCTAGTTTTAGGGTTAATTAAAACAGAAGCCTTAGATTTAGAGATTCAATTTTGAAATGACTGGAAAAAGATTACAGTTGCTGTAATGTGACGTGTTGACCACTAGATGGCAGACACACGATATTATAGTCCTTAAAAAATGACACTGCGGTGGGAAGTTGACAGAAACAACAACACATTATGGTTTCACAGCAAAAATGTGCCTCTCGAATGTAATCTTTTTTTTTACTACATCCAGGTATACACTCCCACTTCCATACTGACATACAGTTTTATCCTGAATCATTTAATTTGTTAAGAGATTCAAATAATAATAAAAAAAAAGTGAATGATGATCATTTTAATTATTGGTTAATGTGCAAATGATTTCTTTGATTAAAGGTCCAGTGTGTAACATTCAGGGGAATCTATAAGCAGAAATATAATATTCATATGAATGTTTTCATTAATGTATAATCACCTGAGTATAATAATTATGTTTTTAATACCTTAGAATGAGCCTTTTATATGTGTTGTATGTATATGTTTCTACAGTAGCCCAAAAGGTACAAACCAAACACTGGGTCGAGATAGAGCTGTTTTTAACACAGTTTGCAGCCAGCGTAGTTCCTAGGGTGACACCTCTAGATGCCACTAAATCCTACACACTGGCCCTTTAATTGATGGATTGATCCGTATAAATAATGTCAGAAAACAGTGAAAATTCACTTCTTCTATAGCAACAAAAAGAAAGATATTCAGTTTAATGTCACACAAGATGAAGAAAAGCAGCAGATTCCCACAGCTGAGAAGCTGGAACTAATATTCTGATTCTTCGCTTTAAAAACTGATCAGAAAAGTTGCTGATTGGTTGTTTGTGGATTGATTGATTCACTGACTAATTTCAGCTCTTCTCCCCTTTCAAGTTTTGCAGTTGGTGTATGTGAGCCAACGTCATGACAAACCTCCGTAACAATGATAAATTAGTATCTCCTGATACATTAGAAACCTCCCAACACAGAACTCCTCCTCACGTTGATCTAAACTCTAACCTGCTGTAAAACCAGTGAACAAAGTCCATCCTCTGAATGTGCCATGCTTCATTACGTCCTGTGCGCTGCTGACCAGGTGTGGCCAGACACACAGGTATCAGTGTGACACTCATTATTTATTAACTGCTGCTTCCACCTTCCAGTAGTCATTCTGTAACCAACAACCTGCTTACTAACCGAGTCCTCCGGCCCTCTCTGGGTAAAAAACGTTATGTCACAATGTATGATTGTGATTAAGTGCGTGATCCTCTTTAGCCGCCACATTACAACTGCGGTTTGTTAAGAACGTAGGGTATTATGGGAGTTTGTGATGGCGCAACGTGTTGGTATGAATGAGGCTTTGATCGCAGAGGGATCTGGTTCAGGGAGGCGCCGGTGTTTGGCCGTTTGTTACCTGTTGGAACGGCAGAATGTGCAACACCTACTGCAGCTTTCATTTACAGTTTGTAACATCAACATGATGCTGTTCATCATTTAAATGAAAACTCAGGTCCTCTACTTGTTGAGCTAAAGACTGATAATATAACAATAATAACTAATAAAAATAATAATTTGACATTGTAGGAAAAAACACAAATGTTACTGATAATATTCACGATACCCACCTTCTATATAAGTTTAAACAATTAGAAACACCTCTCAATATGATGTCATCTAGAACAACCCCACCTTTCACTCAATCAACTGTACAAGGAGGTCTTAGTATTGTTGCATACATGAAATATATATAATTGAATTAACACGTCTGACAATGTCACAAAAACCAGAACATTGTGATCTTTGTAAAGATAGAGCTGCAATTAGTCCATTAATTGATTAGTTGTTCACTATTAATCTGCAGATTACTGTAGATATTTCACATTGTAGTGACGTAAAGGATAATGCCAGCGTTGTTCTTTATGTTCCTTATTGTCCAGGAGATTGTATTGACAAATCCCATGAAAAAAAAAACAACAATGTCAGAGTTCCCACGTGTCCTGGAAAAGTTGGAAATTTAGAGGCTAGTTTTCCGGTCATAGAAACACCTGGAAATTGATTAAAATGTGAAAATATCCTGGAAATAATCAATGTTGTCCAGGAACTTTTTATTTGTGCTTTAGCCCTTCACTCAGATACACACCTATGTATGAGAACCTGCACATACGACACTTCAGGGCGAGTTTACCAGACGTGGAACAAACTTTTTGGAGTTCAGTTTATTTTCTCCGGACCCGAAGTCGAGCAGAATTCCCACAAAAGTCCAGTTTTTAATAAATACGTGCACAATAATGTTAACTGTACGTGCAACAAACACTTTCTACTTTACCTTGTAATGTATGTAATGACAAAAAACTGGGGTTTCTGTAAATAGGGCGATATGATATGTATCATGATACAGGGGTTACAGTTCAATACATATTGCATTACTTTAAGGTAAACTGTGAGTTTTAAATCTGTCAAAAGTGTCAAAATATAAAGAACTAAATGCATAACATCTGTGCTTTTACTTACTTTACTTTTTACTTTATATATTTATAGAGCTATGTTTGTATATATCACGGTCCTCAGTTTATATTTACAGCACTGCCATCTAGTGGGTGAAGGTTTAAACACCAAAATCAATAGTGTGTTTTTTGGGAATCAATCACAATATCACAAAACAAAATATCGCGATATGATACCCCTAGTAAATTATATGACTGTTTGTTAGCAAGTGGCCTCCTATATTGTCAAGAAAACTCCTGGAAAGGTCCTGGAAAATTATTCCTGGTTCCTACTGTTTAAAAATGCTCAGTAAAACAGCTGTAGTGAAGTGAAGTTAAAATGGTGCATTCCTAGTGGACTATTCTCAGCTGACTGATACACATTTGGTGCTCTAGTGAATGTGTTAAACTACAGTGTGTGTGTGTGTGTGTGTGTGTGTGTGTGTGTGTGTGTGTGTGTGTGTGTGTGTGTGTGTGTGTGTGAACCTCTCACCCAGTGCAACAGTGTGGCTCATGTATGTGTTTTTAATGGTTGTTGGAGCTCTACGGCACAGAGGAATGAGATATTTCAGGCTTTGGATGCGCAGATATTACACGTTAGTTAGTTGGATACAGTTGGTGTTTATAAGAAAAATGCAGAAAAACATCAAACTTAACCTTTAAAATTCCTGATCACACTCAGTTTATTCCAGCTTCTGTGTGTTACTGAAGGAGTGCCTCCCTGTACCTGGAGGCATTAGGACCCAGAGAGCTCCGATCTCCCTGAGCTCTCCTCTGTTAGAGCTGATGCCTCTGCTGCTGTCTCTCTCTGTCCCTGTTTCGGATAGACCGAGTGGCTGCCTGCTGGATCTCTGCCTTCCCCTTTTCCTCTTTTTCCTCTGGATATGGAGATCAAAGGCCCAGAGACTCCCAGCATCCAACAGCAGATGGAGGGCTTCTGTAGACCACCTGCAAGCCCAACTAACTCTCATTCCCTGAGAGCACTGCAGCTTTTGGAGTAGTTTCCTCCAGAGTTTTCTCCCCCACCTGTGCAGAGGAGACCCCAGAAGTGATACCTTATTCCTGGTTAATCTTCATCTCTTTAATTTCTCTTTCTCGCTGCAGCCTCGTCCTGTGTGCAAGAGCTACAGGCTCTGAACTCTATCTCCTCCCCTTTTCTCTTTCAGCTGTCACTCTGTCTGTCACTCTCAGGATATCCCCTTCCCTCTTTCTAGGGTTTCATAATGCTTCAGGATCTCATTCAGTGGCAGGGCTGGATTTCATCCCACCGCTTTCTCCTCGTTTGAGAGCATGGACGAGTAACGGGTGCAACTTCAGCATGAACCAACAGCCAGGGGTCATGGAAATAAGCAAAGGTCACGGGCCGGCGCCTCACACAGCTTCAAACTTAACTTTAAATAACTAATTAGAAAATAAAAACTATTAACTTTTAGTACTGTTTTTAGCTGAGGCACATTTCTGGGAGCAGGTTTTTTCTTTTTTGTATGTGTATTTCTGGGATCTATCGGATATACAGTCATGGGAAATGCAGCAGGGAGCATGGAGGTACCTCAGGGGAAGGAGGGCAAGGCGGCGGCGGCCCCTCTGGGCTCCACGGGCTCCCAGAAACAAACCAAGGCGCAGAAACTCCCGATGCCACCTGAAGAAGAGCTGGAGCGACGCTTCAGTGCCGTGCTGGTGAGTTTTGTGCAGCAGGTCGGACCACATGTCAACTTTCACACAGAGGACAGAGAGCAAACGGCAGAAAGAAAACAAAGAATTTGGAATATGTTGGAAATGTGCACGTCCTCTGGACAAGCTTATCGCAGTGCCAGGTACACAATGCCACAGTGGAAAGATACATAAGAGGTCCTTTATACTGGAGCTTACTGCAGCTTTAGGCTCACTGCATGGTCTGCTGGAGGAAGAATGATGTGGGGGGGGGGTCAGATCTGTTTACAGTTTAATCAAATGTGCTACTAAACTTCCATCATGACAGCTACAAATTTACCTTTTTTATATAAAGAATTACTTATATTTTATTAGATTATCTTTTAGCAAAGTCTACGTGTTACAGAGTTACACATTATATGGCCAAAAGTATGTGGACACCACTGAAGACTCACTGGGTGTTGGTTTAGTTTCCACCTCTCAGCCCCAATCAGAAATCTTAATGCTACAACATACAATGATATGTTAGACAACATTTTTCCCTTTCCTGTTTAAACTTCACAATGCCCCCCAGTGCAGAAATGGTTTTTCCCTGTTTGATGTGGAAGAGCTTATAAGACCCTGAACTCAACCTCATCCAACACGTTTGGGATGAACTCGAAAACTGACTGCAGGCCGAACCTTATCACCCGACATCAGGGCCCCAACCAAAGGCCCTAACTAACTAAAACGATCTGATCTGACGCCACTGTTTGCATGACGACATGGTTTGTTTGTGACTTTTAAAGTTGTTACAAGCTCTTTATAGGTACTAAACACTGTGTACACTGACATAAGTGCAGTACCTTTTGTGTTTTCATGCTTCATTTATAGTAAATAGTACTGAAACAAATGTATGTTTGCATTTAACAAAACACTGTGTGTATTCTTGAGGTCGAACAAACGGGACAAATTTCATTTCAGGGCTGCAGCCAACGATTATTTTAATCAATCAATTAATCTGTCAATCATTTTCTCAATTAATTAGTTGTTTGGTCCATAAAATGTCAGAAAATGTCTTGATTTGTCCACAACCCAAAGATATTCAGTTATAGGAGACTAAAGAAACCAGATTTGCACATTTGAGAAGTCGAAATCAGAGAATTTTGGTTTATTTTAATAGTTGACAGTTAATCAATGAATCAGCTGATCATTGCAGCTCTAATGCACTTCCTGCCTAATTTCACTGATGCTCGTGTGTCTGAATGGGAACATTCAGCAGATTAACGCACAATAACCAACGATCACATATGGCTGCATTATCGAGGCGTCCACAAACTTTTGGCCATGCTGTGTAACTGGAGACTTCTTGAGCTGGTTGGCTTTGTGGTCAGCGGCGGTAGACTCTGTTTGTACTTGTGGTTTTCTTGTAAATCAAAGCCACGGTGACGAAATCAGGCGTTCAGTGACCGGAATTCCTCGACCTAGCTTGATTTTCTCCTCATGACTTCCTTGAGTGAGCCGTCGAGTTGTCTCCTGCTCACAGCAACATGCCTGTCACAGCATGACAGAAAAAGAAACAAACAAAGGAGGAGTTTGGAGACAACAGTTATGTTCAACATGCGCCCAGACGACTTACAACGCGATTAACTGCATTCCTTTCGTCATTCTTTTCCGAGCCTTCTCGCTGGAGTGCACGATGACATGTGACACCGCACTGAGCTGATCGGTGATAGAATGAAACATAAACAGACCAACCCGAGGCTTGTTGTCAGCGAGCATACTTACAGAACCAGCCTCCTCCTCCTGAAGGTGAACGGTAATCAATTAAAGGCCTGATGAATGCTGCTCCCGTCCACCGAGGCAGTTCAATCAATGTGTGTGAACGTAAAGCGCTCCCTGTTGGGGCAGAACCAAACCGCCAATCGCCTCTGCTGAACAGCTGCTGTCATTAGCTTGTGTCCGAAACATTTCAGCTGATTTCTGTGACATTTAGGACCAAAGATCAGCTCATTAAATCCGACGGTTTAATAATGAAACTTGAATCATAAGATTGTGTTCTAATCAGTTCAGCTGAAAAATGGAGGTGATGGGAATTATATCGGAGTCTAACGGCAAGTCGGAGAACGGATTGTAGAGATATTCATGTTGATTCATTCATGTAACAGTTAAATTATATTTTCATTACATTTTTATCTCACTGAAAAGTGGAACCATGTGAAAAATTCACTTTTATTTCATTATTTTAGGGCCTTCTGAGTTCTGAGAACAGGAAGGTGAGGCGAGGGTGTTGCAACCTGCAATCCCTGTATTTTCTTTCTTCCTAAAACACTTTTAAATAGAGAACAAAAAACCCTTTGTTGTGTGACTGTAAAATGTAAACTCCTCCTCGGGTTATTAAAAAGTTGCAGCAACCACGGCGAGGACGCGACCTTGGTGTTTCGTTACCGGTGGCTACAGTTGGAGAACAGTGTTGAAGGAGGTTCCTGCTCTCCGAGTGTGAGACTTTGTTATAATAATGCCCAAAAGGAGCTGAACATACCGTGTTTGAAGTGGCTTGGCAACAGAAACTCTGATTTCCCTTCAACTAGAACGTTTCTTTCCCAAAAGCCACACCTTGAGGTAGTCAAGCAGTGAAGTTGGGTTCTCATCTAACATTAAAGTACAGTTTAAGGTGATCCAGCGTTACTCACAGGATCGAATCGCTTTTATTGTGTTTTAGCCTTTCACTCAGCTCACCTAAACCTGAGCGTATATATTGTTTGAAACTTGGATGCTGGGTAAGCTGCATGGTGTGAAACTTCAGAGACACAAAGTGAAACGGACTTTTTGTTTGTGTTGTTGATTTTGTTTTGCAGCTGAGTCTATTTTTTGATGCATTACTTTGCATGAATTTGCAGTTAACTGGGCGGGGGACAGCGCCATGTTTCTGACCGTCTGACTGGCGGGTTTAAGGGATCGCAGCCCTTTCGTTGTATAATCTGTAAACCAAACGCCATCGTTGATTTTCTTTGCTGGTTTTGTGATCATTTCAGTTTCCCTACGGACACTAGTCAAATACACTAAGTGGCCAAATGTATCTGGACACGTAAGCATGCATGTTGGTTGGACATCTTGTTCTGGAGGTTTGTGCATTGGGGGCAATGTAAAGTAGAAACAGTTTTTTATTTATCCTTTATTTGAGAGGACCCACTCCTCTAGCAGCTCAGTCAGGACGACTTTACAAGCACCATTACAGAGTATTTGTAACATTTCAGCAACTTATTTAGGTTAGGTTTAGGCACAAAACTATCTGACTTATACAGACAAAGCAAATGCTAAATGCAATCTATTCAAAGAGTTACCAAAAAACAAACCAATCAATCAGCCTCATTCCAAAAAGTACAAAAGTGTGTGGACGGGGTTGTCTATTTTTTACTATTCATAAAGTTTATACAGTATTCATACCGTATGTTTCAACATTCACCTGTTTGTTCACATTATACTGCAGTTTGTAAACCATCCAGTAGTCAAATATTAAAGAAGTCATAAGACATTTTTCATTTGCTACATCTCTCATCTCTCTCCATAAATGGAGCAGTGTGCGATATCCCTCCCCTCTGATAGAGATAATGCTTCTACTCTAGTCTCTTGTTTTGCATGGAGAACTGTGTTTGCATATGTTTTTACTTACAGTTCGTGTCCACATTGTGCGCAGAGTAAATTCAATCTGTGTTGCAGTGGGATGATCGTGTGTTTGTGTGTGTGTGTGTGTGTAGGATGTGGTGGGGTCGTGGGATAACCACTGCAATGAATTAATGTGCCAGCAGCACACGTCTTGTGCCAACTGCTGCAGGTTTTTCCTCCTGAGCGTGTGTGTGTGTGTCTGCAGTAGTGTGTGTTGGTAGGAATGTGCATCATCAGTGCTGCACAATTAATCGCAATATTATCGAGACTGCAACGTGGCTGAGTGCAATATGCAAATCCCAGGAAGCTGCAAAAGGTCAATTGTGCGACAGGACAGGATTATAATGAACAACTTTAGTTCTGTAGACACCACAATTTTCACATCATCATGATTTTAATCGTTTTTTAAGTGAAAATGAAATTAAATCATTCCCACACTAACTGCAAATCATATCACACAACTTTTTGTGTCAAAGTAATCGTGCAGCTCGAGCTTTCCTGTGCGAAACAACAGGCGTCACTCTGCAGCAGTTTAACTGTCTGCTGCATCTAAAACCCTCTCTCCTCCCCGCCCCGAGCCAAGCACATTCCCTGGGTGTTATCAGCAAGCTTTTTGCTACATCACCATTGTATCCCACCAAATATAGATCATCTCTCCCACCAACCTATCCCCCCCTCCTCCTCCTCCTCCTCCTACTTCCACCGAGTTACCCCCTCATCTTCTGCTGAGTCTGCATAGCAAATCCCCTGTGCTTAGTGGAGAAGATACTCCGTCTGCATACAAACCACCCTCCCACCCACCCGGACGCACGCCCGCCCGCCCGCCTGCCTGCCTGCCTGCCTCAGTATGTGTGAAGAGGCAGAAGTGAGGGATGCTGCGAACTGTCCCTAGTCTCATTCTACAGAGGCTCAGAGGGACAAGAGTGAGGGAGAGTGTGAGACTCGGAGGTGTGGATTTGGAGAGGGATGGCAGAGAGCTGGCCCTGTGTGTGTGTGTGCTCACATGTACACATTTGCATGTGAGCCTGCAGTATTTGTGTGCGATATGAGCCACCGGGTCCTGTGAGCAGCATTTATTGATGCTTTATTCACATTATGACGCTCGTGTCTGATGCCACTGCAGCGTTTTCAAACTGAAAGAATCAATATCAAAGCGACAGAAATCTGCAGAGCACAGCGTGCGACTGATAACGCCAGCGTTCAAACGCTTCAGTCACATCCACACTTACGTGGAGCACTTTTCCCTCAAGGTTTTACATAACACTTTGCATATTTCCCAACAGGGAATGCGGCAGTGGGTGGAATTGTAAATGTACATCTGTGGATTTGTGTTCTGTATTTACAGACTGAGACACGGACAGGAAGAGAAAGGAAAACAGGAG